GCGAATAAAAAGACACGTTTCTATTTCAAGGATACCTGTTCTTCTCCACCGGAACACCACAAGAAGGTTTGGTCCGCAGACAGAGGCCCCTGAAAGGTGCCAACTGGTCTGGCATCCCCCACAGCACGGGCTTGGATGATGAACCCCTACAAATGGGAAAGAATTGTTTAATTTGTCCTGGGTTGGTATGGTTTTTCTGTCTTCCGGAATAAGTATTTAATACGCTAATTTTATCAAAATCAAGCGTGCGGACATCTAGTTTTATTACCTTAATAGCCTTGGTGCCATTAACCGTGACAGTTATCATGGCGTCACGTGTATAGTTTTCGCTGCTCACGTGGATCGAATATGGACTTGTGTTGGGCGGCTGACTCGAAATAGGCTGCATATTTGGAGTCCTATGGAACGGCGTGAGATTTTCACAAACTGTGATAGGCGCATGAGAGGGGAACCCGTCACACGTCAGCAAAGAGTGTGACGTCAGCACCGCTAGTAACCTGAACAACAACTGCAATCGACAAGTCAATGGTTAGTCAACCATGTACTAAATATATATTTCATACATAATTAGTTCTCACGAACTTGCATGACAAGGCAAAATAAACAGTTCTGTAGCCGGCTTTCTCTTGAATCCCCGAAGAACAAAATGACAAAAATAAAACTCTTCTGCAGAACTCTAGCTCTAATCTTGGTGTATTTGGAGCGGCAAGAGGAACAACCTGATTTAATAGGTTTTACGTTTTCGTCTTCACCGGAAAACAAAAGCTCTGACTTTACGAAGAACATTAATAAGCATATCTTAAGGGCATGAAAATAACTTGAGTAAATTTGTACAGGGTATCAGAGTGTTTTTGTCACTTGCGGCGGAGTGCTGCATTTTACAGTGACTGTTTACTCAAAAACAAAAAAGAGAGAATGCTATTGTTTAAAATAACGCATCGTCATGAAAGAATTTTAAGTGTAATGCTTGGGCGTAGGAAACACTATCACCGTAGATCATTCACTGTGAAAAATGTTTCCTTTACTACGTAGATATGTCTGTATTAAAACGATGTTTCGTGACATGACTTTAAAGAGGACAGGAAAAAAAAATGGTTCCCCCGCGCTTTACAAATGAGTGTAAAAACGTTTGTTTGTTGTCAGAAAAAGAGGAATTAACCAGAGCAACAATGCGTTTGTCCTCGTAACATTGTTGTCCTTTCACTGTTAAAATAACCGTCGATAAAACGTCGCCTTGTAGGATTTTGAGATATGAAGATATTGCTTTGACAAATGACATACGAGTAACGTACAAATATCTGACCATGACCTGCTACCTAGCAAGATCGCATCTTTTCACATCTTACGTAATATACAGCTAATGTTGTGTTCATGAACTGAAACCATATCGATAACCGAATCCTGTATTCTGTACCACTACGATTGCCAAATATAAAGTTTTTATTGATTACTTTTATATTTGAACATATTACGACTCAATATCAACCACTCTTAACCTCAGAACGTATAAAATGTACAGTTTTGGAAATAACCTTCATGTGATCACTAAAGCTCTTTATCTGTTCTCTGTTGTTCACGCATAGCGGCTTTGTCCATGCAGTGCATTTACGCTTTGTGAAAGTTCTTTTTCTGTCTACCCCATTCACGGTATGAAAATTCTCGTGTCTGGCGAAATGCTTCGAGTCGGTTTAGCATGCATACGTTTCTTAAAACGGTTCGCTTAACTAAATATTTATTACTTAAACCGGTTTATTGCGGCATCCCGACGTTGTTTTGTACTACAAAGCTAGTATCACGTACGAAATATATAGTATTTTTTAGTTTAAAATCACTTACCACAGAGTCCAGCATTTTTAGGATATACTCCGCAAAGTTAGTGTAACACAGCGTTTCACTTGTCCGGGTCCTCTGCAATCGCGCTTACTGATAACGTAGTGTAACGCAAATAATTTTTAAATCCACTGATACTGGTCCCTGAGTGGTTAACCTTAATTAATAATCTCACGTGATCTTTCATAAAAATGGAAAAGTCTACTTGGTTGTGGTTTGAAATCAATGAATGTATCTACGTTGAATGGAAGCCAGCTAATATGAACTCAGATTATTTGCTAAGAAACATCGACATGTCTTTTATGTCCATCTAGTGCTCTTATCGACTCTTAATCCTTCTTTATCAAAGGATGTCAATTTATCATAATTGACAATGAGCACAAAACCTTTTTATGAACTAAGATTTACGTCACGCTTTATTGTTCTACTGAACTCAACCGAATATTAATCTGTTTGATATGCATTGAATAGGAAACCTAAGTCATGTAGAATATAGATGACATTACTCGTTTTACATGAAGGACAGCTTTGAACGTCACCAAGACAAACCGAAGACAAAGCTCGTTTAAGTAAACAACAAGATTTGAAGGACGCTGCCTTTAGCTACAACTATTGTGGCCATGTAATTTACAAAGGAAACAGATCTTCACACTATTCTAAGATTAATCTTTTAATCATAACAAAGTTGTAAAGTTTTTATAAACGCATTTTAACTGCTACACTATCCCCGGACTATCTTAATAGAAAACCTCTTTATGTTACATCCACAGAATAACATACTCAAGTATGTGTTCCTCATGTAACGAAAAATCAAAGTCTTTCAATGGCTGTACCTACTGCTCACAAAAAAGGACTTATTCTGCAAGAGGAGAACTGGAAATACTGTCCACGACTAAGAAGGTAAAAGATATGCGCTCCTATTACAAGGACATGCGCATTTAAATTGATACTTGACCGTACAGGTTTCTACTTATTGCTTTACGTCAAAACGTTCACTGACAATAAATTCTACAAAAAGTGTAAAAGACTACAGCCACCTAAGTAGTTTTCTGCACCCATTATGGACCTAAATACCTGGAAAAATTTTAATAACTCAGATCAGTGTTGATTATTACGCTTTTCTGAATTTAATTATATAATTATCAAGTATATCTAATCTATCTAATCAAGTATATATAACCAGCCTGAAAAAAAATATATAAAAAAAAGAAATCATAAGGGAAGCACATTTAACTAGTGTAACGCCAAATAATGAATTCTATTTATTTACAAACGTCATGTAAAGACTAAGATACTTAAATTAAGCAATTTGGAAATTTTTATCTTTAGCGACTAAAATAACAGACTTCGGTGCTCAACAACAAATATGGAAAATAACTTACATTAGTGCTGGATTACGTACATGGTGATGGATTCAATGTTCGTGTTCATGGCCTCCTTCTCCATCAGCGAGCGCTATCAGCACCACAAGAGCAATGACAACACCAGATACAAGAGCAACTGAGAAACCCAACATCAGCTGACGTGCAAACAAGAACTGAAAATATACGTAATATCAAAAAGATAACTCTAATATGTGCAATCCAATTAGTGTGCACTACTTACGGAAAAAAATTGGTTCGGAAAAGTTTAACACAGTCGGGAAAAGGGAGGGGAGACGACGTAATAAGAAACAACAGTCTTGGAGACTTCCCCTAAACATTAACTTTCCGTTTTATTCATTGTAACAAGCTGGCGCTCTACTTTATGCTAGTGAGCTCATCTCAGTCCCAGATTTCTTCGGCAGTTTCGCCCGCGTGAGAGATCTGAAAACGAATTTATGAGTGAGTGAGCCTCAAACCTGATCTCCAGCAGGCTGCAGTATAACATGACCACCTGTGAAGAGAAAAAATAGATATGACAATGTATCTGCGTTTACATGCTTCAACCGACAGACAATGTCACGCGCTAGATTGGGCTGAACAACATATGGTAACAACTTGTTCATGATTGCCTAAATTGATCAAAATTCACTCCCAAGCCTCGTTTACGCGAAATTTTTCTCAAAGCTTCATTACCACCTTTCTGTTGTACGTGTGCATTCCTTTGATCTTTCCCAATCGAGAAATTCGTTCATGACAGAATGCAGAATGTACAAGTTGGCATCTTTAGGTGATATTAGTTAGCCTTATGCAAATTTGCACAGGGGTTATTATTTCCTTGACTGTTTTTTACTCGCTCACTTGAGTCCTGGAGTCACTCCTTACTCACCAGCATCTTTGTCTCCTAACGGGTTGAAACGTGTTCCCGTTCTTTCCTTTTTGAGGGAAAGGTAAAGCTCAAACACGACCACAATAGCCACGCCCAGACAGTAGACAATCATGGCGTACAGAGCTGAGTCATCCAGGCTTGAGGCAGGAAGACGAATACCAAGAAACACAGTCACCACTGTTGAGTTGAAAGACGGACACATCACAACAGTTTACATGAGGAAGAGAAACGGTCACAATCCGCAATGCACCCTTGTCTTGGAGACGCTTTTGAATCCAAAACCCAACTTCCGTACGGACGTAGAGGAAGAACAATTCAAAAGAGCTCTTACCTGCCAAGATAAGCGAAGACAGACCAACACCACGATGGGCCCAGTTAAAGATGAAGCGGCTACAGGAAAGGAAACACAACAGTAAGGAGCCGTGACGGGGCTTGGGAGGAGAAAGACGGGAATATTGCTGCATTAATCTGAGTCACTGGATAGGACAGCCGTTATGCTGTTCGTTTCAGTTCGAAACCTTACACAGACTGGGAAACAAGAACGTCTTTTATCACTACAACATCAAACAAAAACTCCAAAAAGAGTTCATGACTCTAAGTCATCAATAGGAGCAGTTGCATCAGCATGTCGTTATCCAGCAGGTTATGTAACTCAGCAACCTCTTTGGTATATCGCGGGCTCACCGTGCGCTTAACTCTGCGAATTATTGTAGAGGTAACTACGAGTGAAAGGAAAATAACAAAGGAAGAAGTTTATCAGTCAACATACTTGGCCTCTCCAGGGTGGGGTCTAAACAATGCCATTATCGGTTGAATAACAGCTAACACCAGTACAATAATACCAGTGATTGGGTGGGCACCAGCCTCCTGTTGAGTTAAAAAATGAGAGAGACTAAGCCAAACTGTTGAACAAACAAAAGACGTGTGTTATATGCTTTCAATAGTTTATCCCAGATAGTTAACCCTCGTTTTGTTTCGTTTTATCAATTGTTCGATAAATAAATAAGTTACTCACTGAAGGTTGTAACTTATAAGAGCAAAAAATATTCTCTTTTGTTAACTAACAGGGACATAACAAAAAACATTCACGATTGATCGTATGGTGGCACGGATTCATGTTCTTGTTAAGGTTTTGATTGGTTGGCCAAATGTGATTACTTTGATCCAGCTTTACCAAAGTTAAAGCGGTTTTCAATTGAGTATCGTAAATCAAACCAAAGTAGTCACTCTAGCCAATCACAGCCAATCACAAAGGACACAGGCAATCGAATGAACCAATCAAAACTTCAAATGAATAAATTTAGTTGACGCACACGCAGGAAAACGTTTGTGAGCGAGTCACGATTGATTTTGGTTTTCTTTTGATGAGATGACAAAGTAGGGTGAAGTTTTTCAAGCCGATCGTGTAGCGTTGTATAATTAAAAAAACTAAAGCGACTCCCAAGTGAAAATTGCTATATTGTAAGAAAGGCGCTCTAATTCAAGATTTCATCTTACCTCGGTCCAACGTCCAGCATGAACAAATATTATGATGGTGGAAATGATAGTGAACAGAACAGTTAGGATCATCAGTGATCGGTGAAACTACGAAACAACAACATCGACCATAAACTTCGTGTAAATAGAGCTGTAGAAAAACACTATTATTATTCAAGAAAGGTAACAATAAGTCGTTACACCAATCCATAGTGGAAAACACTCGATGGAACGAAATAGTTAGCAACAGTTGAGGTCAAAGTAGCCTCCCTGCTGGCCGTTTCTCACAATGTCGCGTGACGAACCAAGGAGACTATGGTCAACTTTGCAGAGCTTCTCCTGAAAACGCAATTTTACGGAAGTCATTGTTAAGAAGAGAACGGCAACTTACCGTGAACCACACTTTAGTTCCCAACAGAACCTTCTCTCCAAATGCCACCTTCATGTAACGAGCCATGAAAATTCCAATCGACGCGAAACCAACCCACGCGATTACCATCAAACAACCTACAAGGAACAAGCAGCGTTCACACTTGGTTCACAAAGAACGGTTAATTCTCCTTACAATGGTAGCATATTGTCAAGAAAATAGGTGACGAGAATAAAGGAAATCATCAACAACAATATATTGTCTTGATGTACCACTAACTTCTCGTAAACAACATAACAAGGATTATATAGAAATCAATACGGACAATTGAAATTTGAAGCCTGTGATCTACTGTCTCACCGTGGGTTTGTATCATTTCGGGGCCCTCCTTTTCTGCACCAAGCGTTCCGATGTCAACCACCTTGACTTTCTCAGGACTCGTTTTTGGAGTAGTATAGTGTTTACCGATGACGTCGCCATCTGTTTATTTTCAAGAAGAACAGTGTTAGATAAGGAATGGTTGCGATTTATAAAAATCAACGTCACTTACTCATGGGACCACTTGCATACACAAGATGCCACGACTCCGTCAGGTCCGCCATTTTATCATCTTTCATCTTTCTTCGAAAACTTAAATCAAAAAAAGTAACGAGAGCACATTAAACCAGTTCCAACGTGAGCCAGAAGGCATATGTAGCATGTTAACTATAATTTATTTTACTAAACTAAAGCGCAATTTTATTTAGATATTTACTCTTGAGTAAGACCGCACATATAGACAAGTTTATTTTTTCTGCAGGTTACTTTTAACGATCAAATGGCGGTAGAACGTTAATTTATTCAAACATTTGTGCAAACCTCAAAAAAAATTCGCAACTTTCGACCACGAAAACAGCTCAATTTGAAAGACACTACTACCTCCATGAATTACTAAGACATGGAATATTAAAGTCGTATTTCTTCCTTCTACATTGTAATTATAGTTGGGATATTTTTGGCACATGACTTACCGGCAGCTCAAAACTCCACCTGATGATTTTCCAACATCTAGAACTAAGGACCCAGGTCTCTAGAATTCAACAATATTTTTGGAATCAGTTGATGATATCGAGACGTCTTTCCAAGATTAGTGAAGATTGTCCCAAGAAATAACGTATTCACACTGGGTAAACGTTTGCTGAGACTTAATACTCTTAAAAGTGTAACCATCTGTACTTACAGGGGTGGTCTTGGTAGGAGTATCGTAACCTTTCATAAAGTAGTGGTCCACAGAGACTTTCCTATTAACCTTAGCGCAGATTAAAGCATCGGTACCAGGCTGACGAGCAAAAAAATACACACAACAATTTTTGCAGTCGACAAACATTGTATATTTTCACATCACCAGTGTTCTTTTTTCTTGTAATCTTTGGTAAGACACAAGTATGTCAGAATGACTATCATTATCCGGGAGTATAACTTAAGTGGATTCTACTAAATCGTTTAGACTACTTGAAAAAAAAAAAAAAAAAAAAAAACAGAAGTGGTATCCGGATATAGATTGCTACCATTCCACTCTAGCGGACAAGCCACGCTATGTTACACTCAATGAAGTAACCTGCGGACTAAAGAACCACAAAGAAGGTAAACTAACTTTTCTCACATTACTAGTATTGGACCAGTCCACTGTCTTACCATTTCATTCTTTTCGTTATTAAAACCAATGGATCCCCACTGTCCCACGGTGCTGAGCTCAAATTCTACCTCACCGGAATCGCTATCCTCACCCCCCACGGGTTTCATGGTCACGAGATACCGGCAGTCACTGCTGGTCGTACAGCTCTCGGGCTCAGAATAGCAGCTTTTTGTTTTACCGCATCCATCTTTGGTAATCTGAAGTAATCACAATCAAAGATCAATAAAGAACGATAATATTAATAATCTCAGCAGCTGAGTCAAAGTTCAAGTAAAAAATGCTGTGTTCAAACATTCTTATTTTCAAGCACTTGTAGCGTGGAGCCTGTGCCCCAGTGAATCCCCGCGTGTGTGCTTCGGTGTTGTGTTGTGTTCTGTATGCGAATAGTTTCCTTCGGCTATGTTACATACTCAGCGAAAGAGCTGGTTTCAACTCGTCTTCCAAAAGGCTCCAGGTCAGCTGGGGGGGTAGTAGTGTGGAGGCCTTATTATGATAATAAGCTTGCATGGCGCGAAAAGAACAGATGATGATTAAGAGAAGTTAGCACGACGCATGGGTATACTGATAATCGTCACGTCAGCATGACGCAGTAACAAGAAATAACAGGGTTGCTTAGCAACAGAGGTGACAAGGACCACAAGCTCAGTTTTTTTTTTTTTCAGACACGATGTCATTTCCCATCACTGAGCGTGTTCTCAGACTGAGAGTGTTCAATGAATCAAGGTTGTTACAACTGAACATCACGTCTTACCGTTTCTTTGACTTCTTCATGAGACAATATTGCCGGGACAGAGAGATTTACCATGGCACCAGTGAACGTTCTATTTTCAGAATGATACTGTGTACTGCCTGAAAGACCTGAGAGCATAAAAACACACTTTCACTCATAGCGTACTGAATTAATAGAAGGGAATGGTTATGTGAAGCCTGGAAGACTTCACACCAGACGAACTTGCAAATGGATGGCTTGCCTCTTTAACTGAACCAAGACATGTTCATGGTCTTTGTCAGGTAGGGGCTTGAAACTAAAAGGATCGACTTTTGAAAAAGAATCAACTCTGATAAACGTACTTGTTGGTCCATGGGAGAAAAGAAGATACCATTTCTCTGTCAGATCTCTGAAGTAATCCGCACTTGAGGTAAGTTTGCGAGTCAACCTGATGCCAATAAAAAAGAAAACATTCATTAACATTGTCTTTTCAGGCACGCAAGATATGTGACGTAAAACGAATATGGCGCCTCTCTTACTTGCACTTTATTCCACCGTCCTCGTAAACTATCTTCGTCAAAGTGATATCACTGTTGCCAGCCTACAGAGTGTTCGTTGTTGTTAGTAATCTTCTCAAGACCTTATGTCATACAATCACAACTCCTTACCAGGTTTTGTCGGTCAACGTGGTGGCGATGAGAATAGTAATGACGTAATTCCGCCAGGTTAGTTGCCATGGTGACGCACCAAATGGAGTCCATCTTGTCCTTTAAAACAACACCCAGAAACAAAGAAACAATGAAAACGACATTGATACTATTAAACTAAATAACCAATGAGGTTACATGAAGACGATATTTTGACGAAGAAAAGTAGTTTTCTCAAAAGGAGTGTTTTGGTCTTAAGAATAAATCAGCTATTTTAAATTGACCAGTTAGGTTTGTAGCTAGTAACAGGCGTTTGCTTCAGTCATTGTTTCCCTTTTTGTTGTTTAGAGTTATCATAAACACCCTAAATACTTTGAAAGAGAATTAAACTATGGACATTGCCTCAGTCATAATTTTTTCATGGACATTGCTTCAGTGATAATGTTTTCATGGACATTGTCTCAGTCCTACTTTTTCGTGCTACAGCCCATGTCAGTTTGATGATGCTTTAGTAATCGTCGATTCATCACAGTAAAAAAAAAAACCAGCTGTAGAATACTCGTACCATTAGTTTCTTCTCATTAAAGGCAACTGAAACCCATCGTTCTTTAGCACTCATTTCAATGGTAACACTTTCGCCGAAAACTTGGTAGGTGAACAGATAATTACAGTCAGCACTTCCGGTACACGATGATGGCAGCGAGTAACAGCCTTTGGTCTTTCCACATCCAATCTTGTCAATCTATAATGTCATAAAAAATGAGTCGTTTTGTGAAGTACAACATCATCTTTGATGGAAGCAGACCTAAACATAGCAGATACCTTTGGTTAGAAAAAGCCCAAGAACGTTACTGACAAATATATATTTAACAATTTCCTG